GCTCAAAGGAGTCAGTGTGCTAAAATTTCTTCATTTTCCTTGTTAAGAATCAGAGGTGCTAGTTTCAAATCCTTTTTAGTCTGAAATCTGTATGCTAGATATTGAATAAGGTGGTTTTATTGTTTTTTGTCACTTTGAATAATATTTCTGTTCATGTTAAAAACAAAATCAACTCTCTGTATAAATATATCAGGTGACCGTTATGCCCATGGGCCTCTTGTTAATCAATTATTTTCAAATTTTGTACCGTAATGCTAGAAGCAATAATGTTCAACATATATTAAGGGTCTTTCTGTTGAGTTTGCAAATTTCTGCGTTTTGGCATATATCACACTTGACATAGCAACGATGTTCATCTTTTTTGCCATTAATTTTTGCTCGTTTAGTGGGATGTTTTATTTCCAATGAAAGCATTTAAATATCACGATTTAAGAACTCGTCCAATGCAATGTGGCAGAGTTTTTTTCTCTTTTTCATTGTGGGGCTATATGCTCCTTTCATTGCCAAATAAGGGCATTGTGAAGTAAATGCTCAAAAGCTCCTCATCTGTACAGCTGAGGTACAACTTGGCCCTTATGAATATCAATTCAAGGTCATGGATTTGAAACTTCGTCTGTATAAGCCCTTTGATTATGAAGTAGTATTTATAGTGGGTAAAGAAACAAGATGTTTTCCACATTTCCAAATAAATATAAATAAATATTTGTCTTAAGGAAGGAAGTGACAACACATTTAGACGATACACTAATTTAAAAATATAAACAAGCCGATTTCTCCCTTCGTGGTTGCTAAGTCAATAATTAGGTCGATAGGTAATTAAAAAAAATATTTTGTATTGGTACATATATACATATCTAAGCTTACTTTAACCCCAGTTTAGAACTTTGTGAATTTATATCCTACATTGTTGTTGACATTGGGATAGCAGTACCTTTGCTATGGAATGAAAGATGGATGTAACTTCATATTATAGTATGATGCTAGAATCCGTTAATAAATTTTTTCTTGTAAAAGCCAACACTAATGTTTCCATTGTATTATAACTAGGCAATATTGGTCTGGTAAAAAAAATGGTTGCCAAGGTCAGAAGTCGGTTGCTATGGAAAAATATAATATTGAATGTAGGATATTGTCAATTCATTGTACGTTTGCAATCAACTTATAATTGATAAATTTTAAAACTATTTTCTTTCCAAAATGTTAACCAAACCTCACTAAAAGGGGAAAAACCTACCGCAAATAATAGGTGGGTTGCTAGGCAATGCTGTCGGAATTCTTTGAAACTGCACTTTTTGTAAATGTTGATATGGTATATAAAATTTAAGAAATCCAAGGTGGGGCCGAAAATGGCCCTTAGTGCACCTACCTCTTTAGTCAAAATCTACTTGGCCATTCAGGACTACAGGGTAGTAGCGTTTTTAGGGGAAAGTTGACAGATGACGACGGACACTGCGGTATGGCTTAAGCTCACCATGGTCCTTCGGACCAGCTGGGCGAGCTAAAAAGGAAGATTACCTCCCTTTGCTAACTATGGTAGAATTGAAACTACCAAAGTACTATATTCTGCAGATCTTCTTTGATTTCAGATAGAAACTGCTAAACATACTTATTTAGGAAGTAATACATTTCTTCATGTTCCATGTGATAGCACATATATTTGGACCCTCTTCAACTCATATCTGCCAGGTTCAACATTAATATAATTCTAATTTTGTATTACATAATATATAATTTATTATTGTTTCTTGTTTTAAGTATGTTTACAGTTGCTTCCTTGCTGTTAAAAGTTCTACATCACAACAAAGACAAATAAATAAGGTTTCTCAGATTTATTAAGGAGCATATAAGGTGTCTCATAACACCAAATACTTAATTAGTTGTAAACTCTGAACTGTTCATATCAATCAATCAATAAAATTTATTGAAACAGAAAAACAATGATGCATTTCCGGACATTAATTAACATTAAGGTTAAGAAAAACACAAAAATATAATTGAACAATTCTTTTTCATGGAGATGGGGGCAAGGTATATAAATATATTGCATGTACAATCTAAGAAAACATTTCGGCATTAATATGGAATAGAAATGCTTGAATATCTTTTTGTTATTCTCCCAATTTTCTTTTGTCCTTGTTTAGGCATTGAAAGTATGAAAATATTTAACTTATATCAACCATTTTTGATGGTTGCACACAGGGAGGTTTTAATGTGGGAGGAAACCCACGTGGTTGGGGCGGATGACCACATATATCTTTCAACCTTGGTGAAAGGGGAGTGCGCTGACCACCCAAGTCATTACTGTATATTATTGATTATCTGTCTGCATGGAAACTTATAAATTGCATTAACCTGTGTAAACCAGACCTTTAACTTGGTCTGTTACATTTATCTAACTTGGTTTGTGTTTTACATCCTATTAACAGCTAGGATCAGTTATGGATGGGCAATGTTTGGTGGTGGAGAAAACAGGAGTATCTGTTGTTTCTTATCGAGGTCATTGCATGATTAATATGACCTTTGTAAGATAAAGCTGGAGAAAAAATAACAAAAAACTCCATAGAGTAAAAAAAATCACACAAATTTCCAAAACTTTGTTACATTGATATGATATCACACACCTGGAAATATTTTACCATTTCAGTTATGCCTAAAGTGGCATACAAATATATATAGGGTATTAAATGAGTTTTCATTTCATATGAGATTTTATGAAACAAGTCTTGGGAGTTTCGAGAAAAGTTTCATAAAAGCTCGTATGAAATGAAAACAATGTTATCACATAACTCAGAAAACTTACAAGTAGTTCTTTTCAAAAGATAACCTAAAGTTTACTTTAATCTCTGTTGATTGGGTTTGACACCCAATCAACAGAGATAGCCCTTTATCAAATGAACAACATTTTGATACGATCATAATAAAAAAACCACATAATTTTGTAATTTTAGGATCAAATGTCTTTAGGTCACTTATTCATGGTGAACAGCTCCATATATCAATTGAAACATTTCTTCGTCCCAGGTTACAGGTTCAAATTTACAGATATTTTTCAGCAGCCTGCTTGTGCACAAGTGAAGATTTTGTAGATACCGGGAATACAGGATACACAGAGTTTTCATGTTCTGTAAAAGTAAAATAAGAATGATTGTAGAAATCAGTGTTAAATATTAGCAGAGGATAAGTGGTTTTTTTATTTCACTCCATTATAAAGAGCGAGTTCACTAATATATCCTAATCACAACAAAAATTCATAATTTGTAAGTGATTACACTACTTGCAGGTAAAATTCTTTACTATCTATCTCATTCTTAGTTTTTTTAAGAAACGTTAAAACTTATGGTTCTCTGAAAAATTGATATACTGTTGTACATGCAAGAAATTGTATTGTTTGCAATGCCTTGTTGAAACAAGATTCTATAAACCTTACCAAAACACTAGACTTGCAATATCCAATCCGATTTGGAGGAAATTCGTTCCTGAACTTTAACGGTATGTAGCTCAGTTTGAAGGGCGACAGGTTTTAGATCAATCAGGCCTATTGCATGTTTTTCCATCCAGTCAAATGATGTACATTCCACGCACAGTGTTGCAATGGCATCCAGACTATCAACAGTTCTGCATCCAACTAGCTCCTGTCTGAAAAATATCAAAAGCCAAATATAATTTTGACATTTAATTGTTACTTTGAAACATATTTCTGTTGAACAAGTATATTGCTATTAACGAGGGTTTCCTTTCACCTTAACCAGGAGGAATATCAAATATATCAGAATATCTAAAAGTTTGCAGATTTTTACTCGGTGACATAAGATAAGGTTGTTAAAATGCTTTCACCCGATAAACATAAAACCTACAACACTTGTGATTAGAGAGCTTAGGACTGTGATAGTTATGCAATAACACAATACCTGTTTTGTAAGGAATTGTTGCTGTCAACACTGGAACTAGACTCTGGTATGAGATTCTTTCTGTAGTAACTGAGAGTTCTATTCCTTTATCCGTCATGAATGGTTGCCATAACCTCTGTGGTCTGTCTTGGATTGATGCCCTTAGATCTATCATTACTTGTAGTCCGAATTCTCTAGTCGTGGCCTGGGTTGTGGTTCCATCTGCTGTGGACTTTTGTCTGTGGTGGTCCTATTCATAGTGCTCTGCTGAATGTTGTGTTTTCGTCTTCAGTGGCCGGTTTTGTTGGTAGTTTCACCTAATTCTTTTATCGTTTGTGATTTTTTCTTATATTATTTCAGATCCGTTATGGGTTGTCATAAGTTGTGGTTCTGTCTGCCGTTGTCTGTTGCTGGTAGTTGCACCATACTCTGTGGCTCTATCACTTGGGGTCCTTTGTTTTGGTTCAATCTTCTGAAGTCTTGTTTCAAAAGCCTTTTTCCATTAATTTTGCTTTCCATGTTGTCTGTTGTGTTTTGTTATTTCAGCGATGGCATTTATAGAGTTTGGTTCCATCTTCTGGTCTGTATTTGGTGCTTTTTCCATACTATTTGGTCTGTCCTTCGTCGTCATATGCTTTAGTCTGTCTTATATGTGGTTCCATCTTCTGATTGCTTTCTGTCATCGTTGTTGCTTCCATCTTTTCCGGCCCTTTTAGTATTGCTGTCCCCTCCTCTGGTCTGATGCTAGTGGTTATACCATACTTTGATCTGTCATTAGTGGTCTTGTGCTCTGGTCCGTTTTGTTTCATTATTTCAGCCGTTATTCGTCGGATTTGGTTCCATATATATTCTGGTCTGTCATTTGGTGTTTGTTCGATACTCTTGGTTCCATCATTGGTGGTTGTTCCATGCATACTCCTTGATCTGTCATTGGTGGTTGTTCCATACTCCTTGTTCTGTCATTGGTGGTTGTTCCATACTCTTTGGTTGGTCATTTATTGTTGTTCCATACTCTTTGGTCGGTCGTTAGTGGTTATTCCATACTCTTTGGTCGGTCGTTGGTGGTTGTTCATACTCTTTGGTCGGTCATTGGTGGTTGTTCATACTCTTTGGTCGGTCGTTAGTGGTTATTCCATACTCTTTGGTCGGTCGTTGGTGGTTGTTCATTCTCTTTGGTCGGTCGTTGGTGGTTGTTCATACTCTTTGGTCGGTAGTTGGTGGTTGTTCATTCTCTTTGGTCGGTCGTTGGTGGTTGTTAGATACTCTTTGGTGGGTCATTCGTGGGTGTTCCATACCCTTTGGTCGGTAGGTCCTGGTTGTTTAATACTCTGATCCTTCATTGGTGGTTGTTCCATACTCCTGGATCTGTCATTGGTTTTTTAGGTCACCTGAGCTTTAGCTCAAGTGACCTATTGCTATCCGTTTTCGTCCGTCGTCGTCCGTCGTCCGTCGTCCGTCGTCCGTTAACATTTTACATTTCAAACTTAAAGTCAAGTTCTGCTGGGCCGATTGAACTGAAAGTTGGTAGGAATGATCGCCTCATGGTCCTGACAAAGTGTTGTTATTTTTCGGGTCGATCAGAAATCCAATATGGCCGCCACGGCCGCCATTTTGAAAACCTATTTCAAACTTAAAGTCAAGTTCTGCTGGACCGATTGAACTGAAAGTTGGTAGGAATGATCGCCTCATGGTCCTGACAAAGTGTTGTTATTTTTCGGGTCGATCAGAAATCCAATATGGCCGCCACGGCCGCCATTTTGAAAACCTATTTCAAACTTAAAGTCAAGTTCTGCTGGACCGATTGAACTGAAAGTTGGTAGGAATGATCGCCTCATGGTCCTGACAAAGTGTTGTTATTTTTCGGGTCGATCAGAAATCCAATATGGCCGCCACGGCCGCCATTTTGAAAACCTATTTCAAACTTAAAGTCAAGTTCTGCTGGACCGATTGAACTGAAAGTTGGTAGGAATGATCGCCTCATGGTCCTGACAAAGTGTTGTTATTTTTCGGGTCGATCAGAAATCCAATATGGCCGCCATGGCCGCCATTTTGAAAACCTATTTCAAAATTAAAGTCAAGTTCTGCTGGACCAATTGAACTGAAAGTTGGTAGGAATGATCGCCTCATGGTCCTGACAAAATTTTATTCCAGTTAAACGGGCCCGGGTGTGAGTCAAACTGCAAGCACTTAATAGTTACTTCCACCTTAGTTTGAATTTAACTATTTCCTTTTGAAAGTACACAAAATATCCCGAACCATAGGTATTTTCCCTACACAAATTATAGTAAACTTAACCCCCTACTGGGGTGGGGATGACCTGGGGGAGGGGGATTAACTTCACAATATGATTAAAGCATATAGTGTTCATAAGATGCCGATTTCTTTTTTTAATAGAAGCTAAATTGATTGACTGAAATTTATTTCATACAAGTCAAATAAATAACGTTCATGACTTACCTCCCTTTACATATACCCCCTTCCCCAACTCGGCACACCAATGTAATCAAATAATGATTCGTGTAATTATCGGTCAAATCTTCTTTTTAGAGGAATGAGAGAATACAAATGTAATCGAACATAAAAATCATTTAATACTTATCTTTAATATATATTGAATGATTAAATAATGTTATTTTTCATAAGATTAATAAAATACTGAAAATGTCAGTTGAAAATAATCTATTTGAAATTAGCATAACTGAAATTCGATTTTTACCAGTCAATAAATTGTAAAAAAAAAAGCATGACTTACCTCCCCCCCCCCCCCCCCCCCCTATAGCAGAGGTTGGATTGAGCATCTCAGGAAACTGACATACATGAAGAATATTAGATAAAAGTATATATTGATCTTATTATGCTAAAAATTTAAACTAATCTGTAATATGAATAATAAATTATTCAATAATGTTTATTTCCGTACGCTGAAAAAATAAGGAAATATCCGTTTATAGTAATTAATCTGAAGCCGCAAGCTAAAATGATTTACTGAAATTCGCTTCATACCAGTCTATAAATTGTAAAGATAACGTTCATGACTTACTTCCCTTTACATAGACCCCCCCCTTCCTCTACCCTAAAGTCAGTCAACTATTTAAAGATACATTTTAGCGACAAAGGTTTATATCGAAAATCCTTTAATCGGCCACATTAATAAAAACGACTGTTAAATTGTATGTAATAGAAGGAGATTTATATCTATGTTATATTGAAAGACTTGGTACTTTTATATTCAACATTCTAATCAGCTATGTAACTCAATAGGAACTTAATCGCTGGCAAAATTCGACAGATTCATACTAGAAATCGTTCTGAAATACAAAAATAATCACAAAGCTACAATAAAGATACATCAAATAAAAATATGAAATAATGGAGACAGATAAACTTACCACGACCAGCTCTTTCGGTCACTACGCACACAATAGTTCTCGCGCCAAATTGTTAACTGCATGAAATGTTTCGCTACGTGAGTGTAACTCGACTTTGACATCTGTTCGGATTGGCTGTCCCTCTTACGAACGATTTCATTGGTCAATGTATATTATACGTCTCTGCCTATACCATGTTTCGCAAGGTCACTCATTTTATAAATATATGTATACAAGTGTATATGTAAAATGATTCGATCCTAACGAACTTACATATTTAGTTAAAAATCAATTATAACTTGTTTAGCCCTATTATTTAAACACAAGAAAATCAAAATATATCCCAATTTCTTAAGGGTACGGGGTGGGGGGTGGGGGTCGGGTGGGG